AAAAAAAAAAAAGCCGCGATCGGCGGCAACAGTTCAGCGGCAGGTCCTTCGCTCCTAGAGGGAGTGAGGGACCTGCCGCCCCCGAATTGCCACAAGTGCCGCCCCTCTCCCTGGGCCACCCCAAGCACCTGCTTGTTAAGCTGGTGCCTGGAGCCGGCCCTGCTAACTGGACTTTTAACAGCCCCGTCCGCAGAGCCACCTAGAGCTCCCAGCATCCCTTTTTGACAGCGTGTTTTGGTAAAAACAAAAAAAAAACCCACATGACTGGTAACCCTATGCATGACGCGTGAGCACTACTGGCAGGGCAGATAGGCTTATGATAGAAGAAGATCACTGACCCTGCCCACCCCCAAGCCCCTTGGGACAAGGTTTCTGGAGAGTTGGACTGGGCAAGCAAAGCCACAAAATCCCTGCTCCAGTACTTACTAGGAGTTATTTTAAGCTGCTTTGCCATGTCAGGCTTGACGTAGGAGGTTGACATATTGTGGTATAAGTATTATACACTTTTTGAATCTCTGCATCTCATTAAATTAGCATCACACTGTAAATTGATGACAATTTAAAATAGAAGCTATGACAAAATAGGAATGTTCTTAACATTTTATCTGAATAGTGTGTGCATGTGTCAATTTACCCTATATGTTATTCAAGTATCTAAGTCGGGGGGAGGGAACCTGTGGCACGCGTACCGCAGGCAGCACACAAGCTGATTGTCAGGGGCACACACACGGCCCCGGTCCTGGCCACCAGTCCGGGGAGCTCTGCATTTTAGTTTAATACCTTATTTTCTTTACATACAACAATAGTTTAGTTATATATTATAGACTTATAGAAAGACACCTTCTAAAACGGTTAAAATGTATTACTGGCATGCAAAACCTTAAATTAGAGTGAATAAATGAAGACTCAGCACACCACTTCTGAAAGGTTACGGACCCCTGATCTAAGTGATGAGACAAGGGTGTGTGATCATTGCAGAGTCCCCTAGGGGGCAGGTGTAACTGCTGTCTAGGTGCCTGGGCCCAGACCACAGCTGACACTCTGTATCCAGGCAACTGATGTCTGGGGCCCATCTCATGCAAGAATCAGCCAGAGATACTGGAGAACACATTGAGATGTGCAGGTCCGTGACCTATTTACCTGCAAAAGAGACAAAGGAGAGAGGCAAGGCAGTAGGGCCTAACTGATGGTGTCTGGTGAATCTCCTAGTTTGGAACCCGGAGAGAGAGCTCAGGGTTCTGAATTCCCCCACGCTGAACTGTGTTGAACAGTCCTGATTTCTGTGCTAAGAAGATCTGTTCTAGGCTGTGTCTCCATTGACTAGTAAACCCTTCTGTTTTACAACACTGGCAGAGAGTCATTGCTGACTGATGTTGGGGTGCATTGCCCTTTGGGGACATATAAGACTTCCCCAGGTGTCCCAGCCCAGTGGACTCACTGCAGGAAGCTCACAGTGTGAACAAGGATGCTGAATGCTCCAAGGAGGCTTCTTGGCCTGGTGAGAGAGTACCCTTAGGGGAGAGACACTATCTGAGAATCCTGCCTGACTTCATTCAGAGCACTGAGACTGACTGTGTGAGAATAGTAAGTTGATGGATAAGCAGTTGAGCTAAAAGAAAATTGAAAAGCATTTTGTTAAAACCTTTTCAGGCACTTATAATATTCTCAAAACATTGGATTCAGAAAGTTGAGGAAACAACTAGAGGGCGATCGATTTTGGATCTGCAACTAATTCATTCTTATTGGCCAAAACAAACGGGAAGGTGGTCATGGACTTAGGAGGAAGCAATCAAGATCCTAGGGAAAGGAGGACATGAGAACAAAACAAGGACACTAGACTTGAAAGGCAGATTTCAACCTACTCAGAATAGAAGGAAGAAAAAGGAGTTGAAGGGAGCTGGCAATTCCTAAAAGATGCAATACTAGAGACTCAAGCTTTTCCAGAAAGATAAGAACTGCCACAGGAGGCCAATGCTATCTGGAAAAAAAAAAAAAAACCCCAGATCCTTCCATTTCCTGTATGTGTGCATCACCAAGGAATTATACATGGGAATAGCACAAGTGTGTAGGGACAAAAATCAGGAAAGCCAAGGCAAAGAATGAGTTACAGCTGGCAAGGAATGTTAGAGACAACAAGAATGGGTTCTTCAAATATGTCAGATAAAAAGATCAAAGAAGGTGTGAGTCTCCCACCCACTGCAGAAGATAAGCTGGAAATGGAAGAGGATAGGAAGGCAGAGCTGCTCAATGCCTACTTTGCTTCATTACACACACACACACACACACACACACACACACACACACACACACACACCCCCACACACACACACACACACCATTTGATCAGATGACTAGCAAAGTTACCATAGACAATAAGGGGAAGGGATGCAGATTGGGATAAGTAAATAACACGTCAGATCTTCTGACCAATTTGTAATAATTCAAATTAGCAGAGCCTGATGCTGTTTACCTGAGGGTACTGAAGGAATTAGCTGAAGAAATCTGAGTCACTGGCAATATTTGCAAACTCATGGATGACAGGAGAGGTCCTGCAAGACTGGAGAAGGGTTAACGTAGTGCCCATCTTGAAAAAGGAGGGGCCAGGGAACTATAGACCAGGGGAAGGTTCAACGTATAAACATTCTTTGCGAATACCTGGAGGATGAAGAGGTAATCTCTAGCAGCCTGCATGGATTTACCAAGAACAAATCATGATAAACCAGCTTGATTTCCTTTGACAGAGTAATTGGTTTGGTGGATAAGGGGAATTTGATGGACCTAATATACCTGGACTTCAGCAAGGTTTTTGACACAGGCCCTATCCCACATGACATTCTCATAAGTAAGCTGGAGAAATGTGGGCTTGGCAGAACTACCATTAAGTGGATACGTAATTGGTTAAACAACTAATTATTCATGGAATGATGTCAGATTGGAGGGAGGCCTCAAGTGGGGTTCCACAGGGATCTGTTCTGGGTCTGGTGTTTAACATCTTTATTAATGACCTAGATGTGGGAATAGGGAGCATACTGATCAAAACTTCAGATGACACAAAGTAGGGCAGGAGAGGGGTGTTGCCAATATTTTGGAGGATAGAACATACATTCTAAAGGGATTTTGATAAATTGAAGAACTGGGTTACAGGCTACAAAATGAAATTTAACAAAGACAAATGTAAGGTGTTACACTCAGGGAAATAAAATCAAATGCACAAATACAGAATGGGGGATAACCTGCTTGACGGCAGCAGCACTGCTGAGAAGGATCTGGGAGTTTTAGTGGATCACAACCTCAACATGAGTCAGCAATGTGATGCAGTTGCAAAAACAAGCAAATGCAATTTTAAGGTGAATTAACAGAGACATAGCATGCAAATCACAGGAGGTGACATTACCATTCGACTTTGCACTGTTCGGCCTCAGCTGGAGTAGTGTGTCCAATTTTGGTCACCACTGTATAGAAAGGATGTAGAGAAACTGGAAAGAACCAAGAGGCAAGCGACAAAGATTATCAAAGGGAAATGAGCAAACGCTGAAAGAACTGTGTATGTTTAGTTTGGAAAAGAGGAGATTAAGGGGAGACATGAGAATCTTGAAATACTTGAAAGGCTGCCATAAAAAAAGATTGAGAAGACAGTTCTCTCTTGCCACAAAGGGAAGGACAAGAGTCAGTGAGTTCAAACTAGAGCATAGCAGATTTAGATTAAATCTCAGGAAAAACTTCCTAACTGTAAGAACAGTAGCACAATGGAACAGATGCCTATGGAGGTTGTGAAAGCTCCTTCACTGGAGGCTTTCAAGGGAAGGCTGGATAGCCATCTGTCTTGAATGGTTTAGCCACAACAAATCTGCATCTTGGCAGGGGTTTATACTAGAGGACTCTTGCAGTCTCTTCTAACCCTATGGTTCTACATTGGGGTGGGCAAACTTTTTGGCCTGAGGGCCACATCTAGGTATAGAAACTGTATGGCGGGTCATGAATGTTCACAAAATTGGGGTGCTGGGGGTGAGGGATTTGGGGTGCAGGGGGGTTGAGGGCTCTGGCTGGGGTGCAGACTCTGGGGTGGACCTGAGGGGTTTGGTGTTTAGGAGGGTGCTCCACGCTGGGACTGAGGGGTTTGGAGGGTGGGGGAGGAATCAGGGGGGGGGGGGGGGGTGGGGGTGTGGGTGGGCGGGCTCAGGAGTGCAGGCTCCGGGCAGCGCTTACCTCAAGCAGCTCCCAGCAGCAGCATGTCCCCCCTCCAGCTCCTACGTGGAGGCGCAGCCAGGTGACTCTGCACGCTTCCAGGCCAATGGGAGCTGCAGGGCAGCACTTGGGGCAGGGGCAATGTGCGGAGCCCCCTGGCTGCCCCTACGTGTGGGAGCTGGAGGAGGGACATGCCACTGCTTCCGAGAGACACACGGAAAGCCCCCGACCCCACTCCCCAGCAGCAGCTCAAGGGCTGGATTTAAAGTTCTGATGGGCCAGACATAGCCTGTGGCTGTAGTTTGCCCACCCTTGTTCTACACCATTTGTAGAGTTTAACTTTTTTTTTTTTTTAATTTAAGTTCTGCAACTACAATTGCCATTTTCCCCCAAATGATAAAATCAGATTCTAGTTGACAGTAGCAATGACTGAAATAAATTGTTTTGACAGCTGATTTTCTAGATATTGCATTTTAGCCAAAGCAGCTTTCTGCCAAGTTATGCTGGAGTGAAATCCTATTTTAGGGCATAAACAGAAAGTAAGTGCTAAGGATGCACTTCTAGGCTACATTGTTTCCTGTCATTAGTTATTGATTTCTCCAACACAACAGCTGAAAGTAAAGTTTCTCACATGGAATAGTACCAAACACTGCTGAACATTTCTATTTAAAGTACAAAATTGGCTTTCCCACAGAACTGCCCACTCCTTTGACAAGCTTATTAGTCACTGAGAACATGCTACAGTCAAGCTCCTTAAGATAGGAAAGGAGTCTTGCTCCTTTGATAACCTACAACTACCATCTTAGGCTTGGTCTACACTTACCCCCCAAGTCGAAGTAAGGTACGCAAATTCAGCTACGTGAATAACGTAGCTGAATTCGACATACCTTACTTCGAACTTACCGCGGTTCAGACGCGGTCCACACGCGGCAGGCAGGCTCCCCGTCGACTCCGCGGTACTCCTCTCGTTGAGCTGGAGTACCGCAGTCGACGGCGAGCACTTCCTGGTTCGATTTATCGCGTCCAGACCAGACGCGATAAATCGAACCAGGAAGTTCGATTTCCAGCCGCCGAACTAGCGGCTAAGTATAGACCAGCCCTTAGATTATTTAAAAAAAAAAAAACACACACACAAAAAACCACACCTTTCTTCCATCAGCACACAAGTTTTAAGTCAACATTTGTCATGCTTTAGTCTCAGCAAGCCTTAAACTTGAACTTTTTAGGTGGAGAGACTTCAAAAAGTCTGGTAGAGTTACCATGATAGTATCTTTTAATCAGATAGACCCATCACTTCAAAATCTTCATTAGTTCTAGTCTCAGGAAATCCACTGCATTAAATGCTGGGCAATTTCCTGGTATTTCTAGATTTGATCATTACTAGCGAAAAAATCAACAGATTCAGCAAGTTTGAAAAGTGGTTTTAGTAGTATAAAGACCCTACTGTTAGGTATTAATAGTTTTGAAACAGAGTATGATAAGTGCTTTGTCAAAGGAAACACGGATGTTTGAACAGACCAGATTTGGTGGGGCCAGTTCATAAAAGCTTTCCTGGCTACTGTCCTTAGCTCCAACTACAAGGTGGTCTTGGGCTGGAGGTAGTTCAGCATTTCCATGTCCATTCAGATCTTTGCTCCCCTCGAGACTACTGGCAGGGATGCCAGTTCTGTCTATATCACAAAAGTCACGTGTCCATTAGCACATGGAAACAAACTAACCTTTTCCTCCTCTTCCTCCCCTGCTCCCGGTACAGTCTAATGACTGGGCAGTAGCCAACTCATTGAGCAGAGTTGAGCTGATGGCCTAGAGCTGAAAGATTCCATCATCCAGTGCCTTACATACACATTTGGGCGTGATAAGTACTTTGCACATGTCTGGTCTTTAAGACCCACTTTTGAACACCTTCCCCATCCTAAAAAAGAGTCCCACACACAGTTGTCTTGGATAAAAAGAATGGTAAAATCTTTATTTGCATGTTCCACTTTAAAAAATAAAGGGGAAGGACTCAACAGCTTAAAGTCTGATGCTGTCCAGCAGCTGGAAGTGAAATTAAATAAATTAAATAAAATACAAACAAAAGCCAAGTAATCAAAATAGTCGAGGGCTTAGAATCTTTTTCTAGAAATACTGTCCCAGTCATAGCTTTAACTCCCAGGGATTTGGGGCTAGAAGATATTCAATAAGAAACAATGTCACAAAGTTAAATATAACAGGGGGATACAATTTATTTTGAGTTTTAGTTTTAACACTTTATATAAGCAATCCCCAAACTGAAGGATTCTAAAAAACCACTTCAACCTTCCCTCCACTTTGCTGAAAGACAAATCCCGCAGACAGGCAACTCTTCTATCTGTAACCCTGCAGAAAGGAAAGAGGATATATAGACCCACCCATCACCACGTTAGAGAGGTTGTATCCTATGGGCCATCTGTTCAACTGGGCAAAAAGCCCTCACAAATCCAAAGATCAGGCTTCAGGAGCTAGCCCCGCCACATAATGGTTATGGATGTTTCTAGAAAGGAAAACGTTCCTTCAGATTCTGCAGGAAACTCATTTAACAGTAAAGACATTGAGTTACTTTGTGCTTTCTTCCCACAATGCAATGCCACTTAGTTCATTTCACATTGATCTGAAGTATCTCAGGACTGTGGTCTTAACGAGCTTGTCCCAAAGCTCAAATCCCAACTTGACTAGGTGGTATCATGCTTAACTCCCTTTGCTCCATCAGGAGCTAAGTGGTAAGTCCATTCATAGCTCAGGACACTCTCTCCCTTTTGGACCTGCCGATGCCCCTTTTCAGTGTACCTGCACAGCCAGAATGTCAAGGCCACAGAAAGGTCTCGGGGGGAGGGGGGGGGAAGCCCTAGTTTAGCTGCATGAGAGAAGAAGGGAATCAAGCTATTCCTAGCCTAGAATACAACCAAAACTAACACATAGGTCGGCCAGCCCATTGCATCAGAAATAACTGGTTTAAGAGATACAAGACTGAAGCATTGTAGTTTATATTGGGTGGAGAAGGTCTCAGACATTTGTACACTAGTCACTTCCAGTCATGACAGCATGAAGCTGTATGAATGATGGAGTAGGCAAGAACTACTCCAGGGAGTTTTAGCATGGCACTTTGGTCTTTATGGGTCTTCTGCTTCCACAGGGACACTTGTCAGCCTGAACAGTTTGGGTGATGGGATTTTCAGTAACCCCCCCATGTAAAGCTGAATGAGCGAGAATTCTTCCCTCCTACCAGGCGCTTGTTGCAGTTCTGTTTGGAAGAGGTTTCAGACTCTAGTCTGGCACATCCCAAGGACTGGTCCTTCCTGAAGGTCTGAGCAAGACGGGCTGCTCTCAGTTCCCTGAGAGAAAGGAGAGGAAGAGAAGTCAGAGCTTGCCATACTCAGTCCTCACCAGCTGCAGAGACAAGTCATTGCTTTTCAAAACTAGACAAGCACCATCCCCCAATTTACCCAGGTAAGTGAACAAACCTAGATGGCAACATCATTGCAGTACAGTTGCAGGACTGGGAGAATTCAAAGTGCTCCCAGCAATATGCTCAGTCCACTAGGACTCAAAGCAGCTCCAGCTAAAGCTTCTGCTCCACAACAGGTTAGGTTTTCTGGCAGTTGACCTGATGTCTAGGGCAACTTGTGACAAACTTGTTTCCCAGTTGGTCACGAATATCTAGTGTCCCCTGTGATGTTGTACCCCATAATGCTTTATGGGAATATGACATAACTGGAATATGTTTTATGCTACCTGTGCCATATAACATATCTATGTAAAGGTTATGATCTACTGAATCTATTAATCCTATTTGGATGCGTTTATCATTTTTGTATTCAAAGTTATGAATATTGGCCGTGTACTGGCTTGATTTCTAAATACCCTTAGTAGAGCATTTGATCAGTTCCTGGAGAAAGTAATTTGCAAAGTTAAGTGCCCAATCAAGAAGCACTTAAGGCACAATGCATCTTGGAATGCTCCAATCCACATGGTCTTCCTGGAGACATTCAAAATACCATGTGGGCAATGGTTTCTGCCTGTAAAAACTGAGTCATGCATGGACATGTGACTTGCCCAGGTGACTCAAGGACTCCATCTTGGAGCTGGACTTTGCATAGGAGAGAGGAGGGGGTCTCCACCCACAAGAGAAAGTCTATTTAAGCCTGTGGGAGACCCCTCCATTTTGGCTTCCGCTGGCTAAAGAGAGCCTCTCCACTCCCCAGGATACCTGAAAGAAACTGGAACAAAGGACAGTAAAGGGGGTGTGAGTGATTGCTGGACCCAGACTTGCAAGAGACTAGTCTGTAAAAGGAAGCTTACTGGAACTGGTGAGATCTTATCTGTATTCATAGGCGTGCGCACGGGGTGTGCCGGGTGTGCCCAGGCACACCTAATGCAGGGGTGGACAAATGGCTCCACTCCCCAGCGTGGCAAGCCGCGGGGTCCGCGTTCCCGGGCTGGAGCGCCTGCCGAACACAGCAAGCCGCCGGCCCCTCCCCGCCTTTCCCCCTCCCCTGGAGCCATACCGCTGTGCGCACAGCGCTCTGGGGCTGCGCGCTCCCGCGGGTCAGTGTTTGGCTCAGCGGGGAGGCTAGGAGCCTCATCTCATGGTAAGGGGTCCAGGGCCAGCAGGGTTGGATAAGGGGCGGGATCCCAGGGGGTGGTTGGGGCAGGGGGTCTCTGGAGGGGGCAGTCAGGGAGCGGGGGGGTTGGATGGGGCATGGAAGCCTGGGGTCTGTCAGGGAGCAAGGAGGGTCCTCGGGGGGCAGTTAGTGGGGGGGGCCTGGGGGACAAGGAGCTGGGGGGGCTGGATGAGTCAGGAGTTTTGGGAGGGCTGTCAGGAGGCAGGGGTGTGGAGAGGGGATGGGGAGGCAGGGAGTGGGGGGGTTGTATGGGTCGGGAGTTCTGGGGGTCCTGTCAGGGGGCAGGGAGTGGCTGGATAGGGCGTGGGAGACTCCCGGGAGTCTGTCTGGGGGCGGGGGTGTGGATAAGCGTCGGGGCAGTCAGGGTCCTAGGGGGGCAGTCAGGGGACAAGGAGCAGGGAGGCTTAGGTAGAGGGTGGAATCCTGGGAGGCAGTTAGGGGCAGGGGTCCCAGGAGGGGGTAGTCAGGGGACAAGGAGCTGGATGGGTTGGGGGTTCAGAGGGGGGAAGTCAGGGGGCAGGAAGTAGGAGGGAGTGGATGGGGTGGGACTAGGGCAGGGGTGGGGCTAGGGTGGGGCTCCCTGGGTGCACACCCAAATGAAATGGGCTGCGCACGCCTATGTCTGTATTCAGTTTCTTACTGTATTAGACATAGACTTGCGTGTTATTTTATTTTACTTAGTAATTCACTTTGTTCTGTCTGTCTGTTACTACTTGGAACCACTTAAGTCCTACTTTCTGTATTTAATAAAATCACTTTTAAACTTAGTAATTAACACCTGGGGGGGGGGCAAACAGCTGTGCATCTCTCTCTCTATCAGTGTTATACATGGCAAACAATTTATTAGTTTACCCTGTATAAGCTTTATACAGGGTAAAAAGGATTTATTTGGGTTTAGACCCCATTGGGTGTTGGGCATTTGAGTGTTAAAGACAAGAACACTTCTGTAAGCTGCTTTCAGTTAAGTCTGCAGCTTTGGGGCAAGTAATTCAGACCCTGGGTCTGTGTTGGAGCAGACGGGCGTGTCTGGCTCAGCAAGACAGGGTGCTGGGGTCCCGAGCTGGCAGGGAAAGGAGGGGCAGAAGTAGTCTTGGCACATCAGTTGGCAGCTCCCAAGGGGGGTACTGTGATCCAACCCGTCACATCCCCAATTAATTTTTTTCTTCAAAGATTAGAGGTGGCTGGATATTAGTAGATCACAAGTAGTCCTGTAATACAAGTCTGTTTATTCCTCCCTGCTGCCCTGAATCCAGTCAGTCAAAAGCAATGCTAGTCTCCATTTGTTGTAATGCTCTCATCTGTAGGAGATTCCCTTGTCTGATTCTGCCTTGCTTTTCCAGAGTCTGCAAGCTCTCTTGTCCATGGGGAGAAGAGTTTACCTCTCATCTTTCCCCTCCCTAGCTGGTGGCGGGAGAGCCAACACATCTTACCTGATCCCATAACCTCAGCTGCAGCCCCGTCCCCTTAAGGCCACTAGCAGCAGCAGCTGGAGGGGGATAGAGAGAAGTCTGATCTGCATTGATTCAACATTGCTACTTCCTTCTGGGCAGGGCAGCCAGTTCAGTATTTAATCCCCTACCCTACACACAGATTCCATGTTGTAGCTCAGTGTTTCTCAATGAGCTGTTGGTTGATCAGTGCCCGTCCCTGAGGTCTCCCTGACAGTTTAGGAAGACAGCAGGCCAGTCCCTGGTATCAAAAAAGGTTGATAAATCCTGTTTGTAGCTGACCACCTTCTCCCCTAGTGGCCAGGATTATAGGTCAGCCAAGTCATTGGTTAGTCAGATGATCTAGCCAGCACAGCACTTCACCTGGAGGTGAACTGCTGCTTTCCTAGAGCTACATACAGGTGAATTGTGGCAGAGCCCTAGAAACATAGGTATAGTTTGATGGAGATATTGGGGGGCAAAGCACATGCTGCAGTGATGTCGCTGCTCTGGTGCTGCTGCGGGCGGCCATGGGGACGCCACATGCTGGGCTCCTGCTTCTCCCCCCCTTGCCCCCGCCACACACACATTCCTGTATCCCCTTCTCTTCCCCATCCCCTTCCTCTCCCCACTGCCCCCTGCCATCCCCTTCTCTTCCCCCTACCCCACTTCCTGCCCTCCTTGCCCAGCCCCCCAAGGGAGAGGGCACTCATTGTACAACAAACAGGCAGGCACTAGGACCCAAGAGGCAGCATCCAGCTGCTGAGGCAGCAACCCAGAGCCCTTACAACAGTTGCTCCCTCCAGCAGCCTCCTCTGCTCCCTGCCAGTGGATACGTGTGGGGGGTGGGGTGGGGGGAGAAGCATGGGAAGGCTGGCCATCCCCCCTTTCCTCCCCCAGCAGGCTGAGCAGAGCAGGGCAGCTCTGTGCTTGCAGAAGTCTGGTGGAGAAAGCGACACGCCCGCCCCCCCAACACCTTGCCTCTGTTTGGGGGTAATGCCCCCCCACACTCCCCAAACTATACCCATGACTCAAATGCCCTCCCTTTAGCTACACACCTGGGAACCAAGTTCCCTAGAGACCCACTATTCAAAACTCCAGTACTTCTACCACCAGAGCCCTGCGCAGATACAAAAATTTGTATCTGCATCTGAGCTGTGATCTGCAAAAGTGGTCTGCAGATGTGGATATCTGCAGGGCTCTACCAACCATCTCAAACCAAAGGCTGATGAGCAATTGCCACGCCATTAAAGCAATCAGCTCAATGCACCACTGTCCGGCAGTGCTCCTCTTTATGCCCAGATAGCCCCTACCTTTCCAGCATGGCAGTCTTAAACTTCTCCACATTTAGCTGCTTCTGGAGCTGTGCAGCTTTTCCAAGAGAGGGCCGAAGAATTGGGTGTTTAGTAAGAGCCGTGGCGGATGGTCTTGCAACTGGGTCAGGGTGAACCATGAGCTAGAAGAGGAAGTGGGGAAGGAGTGGAGGGTTACAGTTTCTTATAACGAAATGCCAATCTGAGACATCCCTTCCCCCTCTGCATTGCACCCTGAAGAGCCTCACCTTAAGGAGTCCATGAAAGCCATGTGAGAGCTGCTGAGGGATTGGTGGAAGGTTGCCCCTGCGGATATGGTGCCACATGGCATCATTGCGAGGCAGTGGTCCTGACCCTGCTGCTAGAGCCATTGTTAATGCAAGGGCAAAGATGTCTGCCTTTGGCAGATAGCAGTATTGCTGTGGAGAAAAGAACCAGTTACATGCTCATTCTCCCCAGTATTCGGTGTAGTAAGATGGTCCTTCATTAAGATAAGAGTACAGGCTCATGGAAGTACTTTAGAAAAAGCATTTACCTGGCACTACCTTCACCATCCCACTCATTACTCTTTGCGGCTTTGACTCCGAAGAGAAAAATATGGTCCACTTCCACTGTTCCAAACATACTGTTTAGTTTTAACAGGTTGTACACAGCTGGGAGTATCCTCCAAATCCTGAGGAACTTCTATCCCACATCCGGAAAGGCAACAGCAAGATGGAAGGACTCCTTCTTAAATTAGCTAATCTATGCCTCTGACCTTTACAACATGGTAGCAAGTCAGGCTACTGCTAGATTACCTCGCCTGTCCATCTATTTGATGCAAAGCTGGAATGTGATGGATTGGATTTGGACACTAAATACATTTTACCACAAAGGAGATTTCCATTTGGGAAGTCTCTGAGCCACATCCTCCAGTCTGTGGCCACTAACATTTTGCCTTTGTGACAGGGTGGTGGCCTTTATTTTGGTTTATGCCAGAGTGGCAAAGGTTAGTTTAATACAGGGGATTTAGGTAGGAGACCCCCATGTAGGGAAGAAAGGGAAATCATACCTATTGTACAAATATCTGTCCAGGTGTTAACGACCCTAGCATATAAAGATGCTTTAAATGTAATTATAGCTCCAATTCAGTAGTCAGGTTTCTACCCACCAGGACCGTCTGCATTTGAGATTATCTTTTCCTTCCCATCCCATAAACTGAGATGTAATATGGTTACAGAGACTATTAGAGACCCAATTGTGAAGTATATTTAAATATTTACACATCACCATACAATTGTGCTTTACAGAAACAAGGAGGGGTTCCTGCCTCAGAGTTCAATCAAGTTGAGCTCAGGAAAGGAGAGGACCAGGAAGGAAATATATAAGCCAGGTTAATAAAGAAGATACAATATTCCACTGCCAACCCTCCCGTTTCACACATACACGCCCCATCCTCCCCCAAATGAAAGGGGCAGTTGTACCTCTTGCAGAATCTCATTGGCCAGAAAACGACTGTCTCCCTCCTCCACTTGGGGATTAGTTATTGATGTCACATGGCCCAGGTCACCTAACAGGAGGAGAAGAAACTAACTAGAAATCCAACAGACACCCACAGATCTGCGGGGGAAGTCCCACTATGTGTGCATCTTAAAGGAGCTCCGAGAGGCCAAAAGAACAGGTGGAATCAGAGAGCTAGTGAGCCAGCTCCTCCCTCAACCCCAGGCATCCGAAGTCTGGATTTTAATCCAAAGTGAAAATAACTTGGCTGGATTCACCACAGCCCTCAGATCTATGAAGACTGATACATTTCACCAAGCCTCTCTCTGCGCTCTATGCCTCCAGGACTGAGTTTTGCAGGTCATGACTGAGGGACATAGTATCCCTATGGCTATAGCATAATATTTAAGAGCAGCTTTAGAAAGAAGTCACTAATCAGTCCATGAGTCAGATGAAACCTACCAATTTTATACACCACATTGGAAGAGAACCCATCATCTTCACTGTCGCTCTCTTCCTGAGCAGCGGAGCCATCAGTCACCAGCTTGTGACAGATGAAGATGTTACCTAGAAGACAGAAGCTTATATGTAGTTGAACACTGGCTATTCATAATGGAATGCTCTTGCAGGTATCCTAATGGTCAACAGATTTGGAGTTTTTTGAAGTAGATCAGTTCCCCTCCCATATAGAGTAGTACAAGTGGCTGCTACTCAAACCTGATTACTGCTCCAAGTACATCTTTCCCCCCCCCCCCAAAAACCCCACACCCCCACCACAACCCATACACCCCAGTGTCTTAATCTTACATTTATTATATTGGGATATTTCATAGTAAAGTGAATCTGGATCTTCAAGGTAGACAAAGGAAATGGACATTGTTTCCTACAACCTCACCGCCACGGTGCAGGACACTTGAGCTGGAGTACTATATTGAGCAACAAGGGAATAGCCAGATAAGGAACAAGGAAGTCCTTCCCCCTTTGAGCTGACCTGCTTGGTCACCAATCTGAAACCGAACACTTCTGTGTCAGCCAGGGTTATAAAGAGGGAAGGAGAAGGGAAGAAAAACCGTGGATCATGATTTCCAACTGTAAAGAAGAAGGTTTCACAACTACATTTTTCAGTACAATAGCAAAATTTGAGACAGACATGAGATGTTTGCTTAACTAGAGATTTGCTTCTTCTAGTTAAGGTACTGAACGTTACTGCAGTGATGAGTATCAAGGGCCTGAATTTAGAAATTCTGACTGCCTACAATTCCTAGTAGTCAATGGAAGCTGTAGGAGCTCAGCAAGAGAAGCCCCAAGCTACTAATTTCACTTCTTTGGAGTTTAAAAGTTTTCATTTGGTCTCGATTTTCCTTCCCTCTGTCCAGTTGTGGGTTTGTTTTAATCTGGAACAACGTTCAATTTGAGTTGCATATGGCAAAACAGTTTTCCCCAGTGAGACTCACTACGTTTATGGGTTAGGGAGGATAACCTCACATCCCTGATTTATGAGACTTTGTATGTAGAGTCCTGTTTGCAGACTAAATCCCTGGCCAACAATCCAACCCTATGGTCCTTATTAAAGCAAATTCCTATAGGCCAAACTCCTGTTGTCAGAATTTTTGCCCAAGTAAAAAACTGCAGGATCATGTCAACCCACAATTTTTCCAGCCCTCTTGCAAGCAAGTTACAAATGCTCAAAGTCTGCATGTAGGACACAGGCCAGTAGACTGTTGCCATCTCAGAGTTTGCACTGTTCACACACATTTCAGAAACAAATTAGTTCAATGTGTGCAAACAGCACCAGTCAACTTTTGCTGGCTGAATTAAGTTAGCTCTCACTTTGAGTAGCATGTTTTTCCCTGTTACCTCCCCGCCCATTAATGAATAAGATGTTAAAAATCATCATTTCTTTGCATTTAAAGTTGTACAGTTGGCTGTCAGAGTTATGAAACTCTGCTTTTGTACCATTTTAATATTGGTTCAGTTTTGAGTTATATTATAATCTTGTAGAGTATACAACAGATAGAGATTTAGTGGATCCTACTTTGGTAGTTAACCCATTAAATTTAGAGATTGACATGGATAGCACAGGGAGGAGCCCTGGAGCACCTCTCTAAAGAGTGTCCTTTCCATCCTTATTTGAGTTTCCACTAATATCTAACTGTGCTCGGGAGTTCCTCCTCTAGGAGAGTTACTGTAAGTATGTGGCTCTGTAGTCCACAAAGAACATTCTTTTACTTTACTATAGGCACACATTTGTTGCTTGAAAAAGCATGGTGTGTGCATGGAACCCAGTCATCTTAGAGTGCATTTTGAATATTGCCACTAAAAAGCCTCTTCCCAGAGTGGAGCTCTTTAGAACAACTGCTGTACTATTGCATTTCTTCTTTCCATACCACGCACAAGAAACAGGAAGAGGGAGTGTTATAACTGTACCTGACTGCTCTTCTTACAGTTACACAGAGCATAGCAGTGCTCCCTGTCCAGATCCAGAATGATCAGTAGACATTTTTGGGGGTGGGGGAGAAGAGGAAGATGGAGTACAACAACAACTTTTCCTTTCAACTGCAGATCTAGACTCCACAAGGAGTAGGAAGAAAGATACCTTCCAATCTACCACCACACAGATTACTGGACACAGGCAGCATGAGGGGAGAGGGACCAGACAAGGAAAGAGCTGTACTTACTAGGTTTGATGTCCATGTGTGCCAGGCCAGAGCTGTGTATGTACTTTAGCCCCATGGAAACTTGCAGCAGGATCTCCTTTAACTCTGCTTCTTGGAAATAGCGCCCAGTCTTAGCATTTTCCAACAGCGCATCTTGAAGGCTCCCACCTAAGAGAAATAGTCAACTTTTGATGCAGGTATTTTTCCTAGTGAAGTGAGACGCTTGAACTCATTTTCTGCTGGACTCTGGATACCTATTAACGCTAAGTACTAAAGAACTATACAAAGGGTGACAAACCTTGGTCAGAATAGCCATACAATGTTTAGGAAAGAGACTTATGCACTGTACAACCCATCTGGCATTACACTTGCCATTGCATAGGATGGTGGTTTCTCCAGCTCTCTAGACCTACTTTCTATTTGCCAGGAAGGGACCTAAAGCTATTAAGAGTGGCAGATCAGGGAGCAAGGAAGTCTACGATATAGAAATCAGTGATTTAAAGAAATGTAGGTGGCAAGACTCTCATAACAGAGCTGTTTTATTGCTCTTCATTTAGATACACTCAATGCATCAGGTATTGCACAAAATGCTATCTTCTGCCTAATTTTTAACCCTATGCAGCTGCACCCCATGACTCTAGTCATGGGTGTCTTCGTAAACAGTGAAAGTTGTGCTGAGTTACAGTGGTGACTATCAAGAGTCATTTGTTACTGCAGCCTAATTTTAACTCACGACTCCAAAGCAAAAAACAAAAACAAAAGAAAAACATCGCACACCCAGACCTCACGAGCTATTAAACTGAGCCAGATGTTTGCAATAGTGCTTCCAAGTGTCCAGATGTGGACTTGCCCGCCACCTACTAATTCCTGCCAACTGGAATGAGGTCAGGAGCAGGCTGTTTGGGAGTTTTCCCCTCACTATGGTTCTGCCTCTGAGGCACTGCACTATTCACACAGCTAAGTCAGAGCAAGAGAATTTGCTTTCCAGGTATGTTCCACTCATGTACCAGATTAGCTCCTTTTAAACTGCTGTTACTCCAGTACTTGAGGCTTGATGGCATACAGCTCTGTGGTGGACTCCCAAACAGCAATGGCATCAGGAATGCATTCCCCAGATCAGCTGTACCACAGCAATGAGGGGAAACTTTAAAAATTCCTAATGAGTGCATACCATGCGTGAGCTATGGGTACCCCACCCTGCATTTAAAGCTGCCCCTATACCCATTGTCATTATAGCATTCCCCATCACATGGGCTAGCTGTTACCTTCCTGGCTCAAGGCAAAGCATTAAAGTTAGCATTTAGGTTTAACCTAAATGCTCTAGTTTAGAAACTGACCTTAAACCCAACTGAAGTTGATCTCCATTGTAAGATGGAGCTCCATAGGTTTAAGCACCACAAGGAACCAGATGTCACCCTGACATTTATGCTCTTAACAAGGCTGAGGTTCTTACCATTGCAGTGTTCATTCTGAATGATCATGTGATCATCCTCTGCCCAAGCGGAGTAGTAGCGCACAACATGGGGATGGTGTCCAAGCACTGCATGGGCGTAGACTTCCCGCAATGCCATTTGCCTGGAGATGGAAACAGAAGAAACAATGGTGATCTTATAGAAATGGGGCTTCAGTGCCCTGCAAGAAACCCTAGTTCAGAACCGGATCTCACCTCCCCAGTCAGGCCAGGATTGAGAGCTATGAGCACCTAAGAGGGAGGAAGGGAAAGATGTGCATTTATGCTGAACAGCAATTTTTAGGAGATTGAATGGCATTACTCGGCTCTGAAGCAAATCCCATCCTGTCCTTAGGAAGGGGCATTTTCAGAAGCTTATGGAGAGGAGCATCTTGAGACTAATATAAGAAGCAGTCAAGATCAGATGGAAGTAATCTATTCTGACACAAAGCCACAGCAGCCACTAATGGAGTATTGGCTGGGCAGGTCAGACCTAAAGCAAGGTTGGCAGTTAGTGAGTTAACCCAAAAGCTAGCAGTAACTTCAGAGTTCTACTTGTGGAGCCTCAGCACAACAGGGTGATGTCCAATGGATGAAGCATCTGATATTTGTTACTTTAGTTGTCTAGTCTACCATGGAGTGATAGAAGGACACTGATCCACCTGCCTGCACCCAAAGCTGGCCTTTGTTTCAACAACCCCTAATAACGGAGGAAGAGTGGCATTTCCAGAACTACATAGGAAGCTCCTTTTAGCCAAGCAAGTATAACATGAGCAAAGAGACCCAAATCATCTGAGTATCAATTTCACATGCCCTCTAGGTTTCACAAAGTAATATTAGTAACAGATACAGTGGGGTTTGCCAGATAGTTGCATGTGATTGGAGATTATCCACCAGTCAGTAAAGTGGTAGATAGCAAATGTAATGCCAATTTGTAAAAGAAGTTCCAGAGGCAATCCTGGCAGTTACAGGTCAGTGAGCCTCACTTCAGTACCAGGCAAATTGGTTTAAACCTATAGTGAAGAACAGAATTATCAGACACAGATGAACACAATATGTTGGGGGAAGAGTCAACATGATTTCTGTTAATGGCAATCATGCCTCAACGTATTAGATTTGGTGGAAGGTGGTCAAACATGTGGACAAGAGTGATCCAGTGGCTATAGTGTACTTGGACTTTCAGAAAACCTTTGACAAGGTCCCTCAAAGGCTTTTAAGCAAAGTAGGCAGTCATGGGATAAGAGGGAAGATCCTCTTGATCACTAATTGATTAAAAGATAGGAATGAACAGTCAGTTTTCCCAGTGGATAGAGATAAATAGTGGGGTCCCCCAAGGATTTATACTGGGATTAGTGCTGGTCAACATTCATAAATGTTCTGGAAAAGGGGGTGAACAGTGAGGTGGCAAAGTTTGCAGACAACTACTCAAGATAGTTAATTCCAAAGATAATTGTGAAAAGTTAAAGAGATCTTACAAAACTGGGTGACTGGGTAACCAAGTGGCAGATGAAATTCAGTCTTGATAAGTGCAAAGTAATGCACCTAGGAAGGCAATCCCAAGTATACATACAAAATGGGGTCTAAATTTGCTGTTACCACTGAAAACAGATATTTGAGTCATTGTGGATAGTTCTCTGAAAACATCTGTTCAATGTGCAGCAGCTGTCAAAAAAGCTAACAGAATATTAGGAACCACTAGGAAAGTGATATATAAAACAAAAAATATCATAATGCTACTATATAAATCCAAGGTATGCCCACACCTTGAATACTGCAAGCAGTTCTGGTTGCCCCCATCTCACAAAAGTACATTAGAATTGGAAAAAGTACAGAGAAGGGCAACAAAAATGATTAGGGGGTATGGAACCGTTTCCATATGGAGAGATTAAGAAGACTAACTGTTCAGCTTAGGAAAGACATGACTGAGGGGAAATATGGTAGAGGTATATAAAATCATGAATAGTGCAGATATATGTGAAGGGGTAAATGACACTTCCTTATTCACTAACAAGAACCAGGGATCACCCAATGAAATTAATAGGTCTCAGGTTTAAAACTAACATGAAGAATTACTTCACACATTACACAATCGACCTGTGGAACTCTGTGAAGGCCAAAAGAGTAACTGGGTTCAAAAAAGAATTAGGTAAGTTCATGGAGAATAAGTCATTCAATGGTTATTAGCCAAGATGGTCAGAGACACAACCCCACGTTCATGATGCCCCTAACTTCAGACTGCCAGAAGCTGGGACTGGATGACAGGGGATGGATCACCTGATCAATTGCCCTGTTCTGTTCATTCCCTCTTAAGCCTTTGGCACCAGCCACTGTTGAAGACAGGGTACAGGGCTGGATGGACCATTGGTCTGAACCAGTATTGACATTATGTTCTCTTGAAATCCAAGATGCAAAGTGAGAGGGCAAGTCAGTCCATATGACCGCTCCTTACATTTCTACGAGCTATGAATATGAACACCCCCACTGTTTTAGTCTACTCCTCCTTCCAAGGTTTATCCTGGAATCTGGTGTTAGTTACAAGTTTCCAAAGATATGCTTTTAAGATCCTTAGAGGGATGGAGGAGGAGTGAGTAATGTAGAAATACGTGTCTCAAAGATATGCCTAGCATTCCATTAAAAAAAAAAAAAAATACCCCAACTGACACAGAGCAGCGTTTTTACCACTGTAGTTTCCAGTTCATACACTCACTCATCTGAGGATCCTGCCAGAGGCCTCTTCGAGCGCTTGATAGCATACACACATCCATCTAGGCGTTTGATACACTTGTAGACAGAGCCAAATTCTCCTACCCCAATTTTTTCTAGCTCCAGGAATTCCTTCTTGTAGCGGGAAACCATGTTGCTCTCTCTCAAGAGAAATCTCTAGGGGATTAGACAAAGCAAAGCAACAAGAGAAAGAAAAGTTAAGGACTCGTCATACACCAAAGGTGGTCTTAAATAGTGGTCTTAAAACTAACATGTAAAGTCTCCATTCAGCTCCCTCTTCATTTTTGTGTACTCTCAACCATTCAGACACAGAGCTCCTGCCTGCTTCTCTGTAATGGTCTCCTTCCATCACCAGTTTGAGGTTCCAGGGCCTTTGATGATGACCTGACATAGACCAAGCAGAAAGTAGCTAAGAATTCCCTCTCCCCCATGACTCACTAGCACTGCAATTAGTTAATGCAGGTCAGGAATTGGGCACGGTGTTCTAGCTAACTGTGCATAAATGGTCCCATGGCATTAGATCTCAAGGCTACTTCAGCTATCCACCTTTAGGTAGTTGTGACCCACAGCCAAGATAACCATCCTGAATGTGGAGCAGCAGCAGAAGGTAATGTTATTGGACTCCAATCATTAACTACAGTAGAGTTACATGGGAATCGGTTACAGATATTTGATTGGGTGGAAGGAGACTTGTACCACTGAACTGTTAGTTCTTGTCCTCCAGAGAAGGAATTTCCAGATGGAAGACCACTGGAGGGCTGGTCAGAACAAATCAGTTATCGGGAGAAGGCAAATTCAGAAGCATAGGGTTAGGTGGGCAGGGTCTACCAGTCTGCAGTGTTTTAAAAGTTTAGACAGGAGCTCCACATGTCCAGCTGTGCTTTAAGTAAGAGAACTAATGCATGTTTTGAATTTAGACAGTTCTGGTATCCTGGCTAGCATGCCCCACAAGCTATGCACAAGTTATTTCATCATGGTTGTTCTATATTTGCATACAGTAGGTGCAATACTGCAGCAGTTCAGACTGTGGTCTAGAAGCTTTCAATATTCTTCACAGTATTTGCTGAAGGTCTATGACAAGTGAGGTAGTCACAATGCTGCCTGTCCAAGTTTCCAGCTACTACACCTGTCCAGGCCATTCTTCACACAATTAAGAGCCTAGGAAAACAGCTGGAAAATAGTCAACCTGTGTGCCTATGTTAGTAGCCACTGATACACAAGAGGAAGGGAGGAACCAGGAGTTATCTGCCACCATCACTAGAGGAATGTCCAAGGGAGAAGGGAAAGATACAAGACAACTGGACAGTATAGCCAAGGAAGCAGGGGACTAGTGAAGATGGGATATGAAATAAAGAGCAAGAGTAGTCCATGAATTTTTTCTCCCCCCAAAATAAGACTCACATTGCACATTTTCTTCCCACATATGCAATGGCTGAGGTTACCTCAGATGTTTGTGATCATAAGTGGAAGAGGTGCCACACAGGACAGTTAAAATGCAGCCCCCAGATACTATTAAGCATAAAAAGCAGTACACATACCTAACTCACTGCAAACATTTTTAAAAAGTGTCTGCAAAGGCTTTAAAAAAAGTACTGAAAATACACCAATCTAGGCACCAAGCTAACATGCTCACACTTAACAGAACGCCTTTTACAGAGTTTTATTCACCCTAGACAAGTGGTTTTGTCTGACTGGTGTCAAACCAAATCTATTGCTAAGTGGTAAGAGGCTTCCTTTTAATGAGCATGGTAGTCCATAGTAATCCTGGATCTAGGGTGACCAGACAGCAAGTGTGAACAATCGGGACAGAGGGTGGGGGGGTAATAGGAGCCTATATAAAAAAAAGCCCCAAATATCAGGACAGTCCCTATAAAATCGGGACATCTGGTCACCCTACCTGGATCTCTCCATTGTTTGCCATAGTCATAAGTGTTGTTATACTGCTGTTCTGCTTTGCAAGAGAAATTCCAAGACACAAGTCAAAGTTAAGCTGCATCACTGGCCTTCACAGGCAGGGAGCACCACCTCTCCATTTCTTAGCACAACCCAAGCACTGCTAGACTGCTTTCATGATGAATATACTTGTAGCTGCATTGATTCACTTATCGTCTGTGGAGTAGGGAGAGACTCCAAGGTAAAGGAGCTGAGATTTTTACCTAGTTGAATGGAGATACTGAGTTTTTCTTTAACACTCCCTTAAATTATTCTGGCTTGGTTTGATTTTTAAAGCAGCTCAATTGTTTGGATAGCTGTCACATAGGGAAAAACTAATGTCTGTTGTAATAAATAAAAGCAAAAATATTGAGTAAATCCAAGATTAATTCAGATGAAGTGACAAGCTTTTGATTATAAAGATTAGATCCTAAAACAGAATAGGGGCCAGATTCTCAGGTGGTGGAAACTGGTTTCAGCTCCAGTGAAGTCAGATGCACTCAGCCAGTGTAGTTAGCCATAGAGGATCACATTGGATGCCAATGTCTTCACTACAGATTTCTGCCAGCACAGCCATGCCAGGGGGGCCATCCCTGACCATCATCGCTGTGCTAGCAGAAGCCCCTAACATGATGCACTTATACCAGTAAAATGTGTTTGTTTTGCTCATGGGGGATGGTTTTACCAGCATAGTTTTGCCATTATAACTCTAGGAGCTTTGCCAGTATTGTGCTGGATTCCTACACCAGTAAAGCTCTTAGTGTAGGCACAGCCTCTGCTTATACTTACTGCTAAAAGGGAAGCATTTAGCAGTGAGTGGAATCCTGACTCTTCTCAGCCCTGCCACAGAGTCACTACTTAGCTGCTCTGTAGCACAGTTTACTAATCTGTAATACAGTTATGTCAGTCTTCATCCTTGTGAAGTGACTTCAGGCTTAATTGTCAGTGAAGTGCTGAGAGCTGCCGATAATGTGAGATACAAGTACTATTCAAAATCTTTTGAGAAGAACGTCCCTTTCCACTAGGGTGACCAGACAGCAAATGTGAAAAAATCAGGAGACGGGGTAGGGGGTAATAGGAAAATATAAGAAAAAGACCCAAAAATCGGGACTGTCCCTATAAAATCAGGACATCTGGTCACTCTACTTTCCACTTACTTGCCATGACCAAGTACAAGATTCTCTTTCCTGCTGAAGGTGGTGACTGAGATTAACCACCTAAGCAGCATTTAGGAATGTACTACCCTATTTCAAGTGTTCGTGATGTCAGCTGTTGCAACAGAACCACCAGTCTGAAATGGTTAGCTGCTAACACCTTTCACTGTAAAGTTACAATAAATATTTTCTTAAGTCTACAGACTAATATTTGGAATTTGGAAATTTGAGGTTACTAGCTTACTGAACACTATTTAATAGGGGTAGCAGCAGGATTACTCTTTCCAGCCATGTTGAGATAGCAAGAGCTTGTCTGTATTTACAGTAGTCTTATTACTTTCCCCATGAATTCCTGGCCATCACATGATCATTTATAGAATGGATGTTGGCCAGGACCAGTGAGAATTCTAGAACTAGTTGTAAGAGTTTCAGATCTAGCCAAATGTAAGTTTGTCAAATCAAGTAAACTACTTTCAGTCTAATGACATCAATTAATGTACCATATTTGGTTCTTCCTGGATTCTCTGCTATTCAAACTTGAGTATATAATTTTTTCCTCATAGCATTCTTGAGTTACACAATAGCATACATTATTAATACTAGTACAGATATAGTAAGGGGCAATTTTTTCTGTACTAGGCAACTATGCAGAGACACTCACCTTGGCTGGCAGCCCCTGCTCCACCTTGCCCCCGCTTAGAGTGAGATCTCCCCTAAAATGAGATTTAGCCACAAGTGAGCCTGGACACACACTATCCTATTGCAGCAGTCATAAGACTTAGGTTTCACGTGTTTACATTTTTAAAGAGCAGCTTCAAAACTACTCAAGTCTGGTAAAATATTTATAAGGCTCTTCCAGAGGATTGGTACACAGTGAGTTTCTTTGGATTAGGCCAAAGAAAGCTGTGGTCATGAGCTGGGAAATTCATCTTCCAGTTTAGAAAGTCTACATAGTCCAATTTCCATACGGCATCCACACTAGCTAATTTGATAGCTTGCCACCACTACACTCTCTATGCAGCTCTAACAGAGGTGAAAGTTGCGGGAGCACTAGGGAAGAACAGCCACCAGGGGTTTTGCCACTATGTTTATAGAACACCCTGCTCAGAGCATGTCTAAATGCAGTTTGGGACCTTCGGAAGTGAGCAGAACCTCGCTATAATCAGGTTTCACTATGTATTATAGATTAGGCCACAACCCGATCTGAACCTGACTTTTTGAAGGGGTCAAGGATATGCAGTTCAGAGCCATTCAAGTGCAAGGTTTTCTGAACATACACCAGCCTTCCTAGCGCATATGGGGAGCTATGCTAAACCCACCCTTCATGACTTGGGAGAGAGAAAGGTGGGGCCCACTCCCACCACAGTTTGAATTCTGTTCTCATCTGTTATAGTACTAGACACAAATATTGTAAGCACAGGCTATATTACATTCATAGTCCCAATAAAAGGAAGCCAAGATGGTTCTTTATTCCACATTTCTGGTTTACCAGCCCCACCTCCCAGTAGTGTTTGCTCTGCATGCCTGATTCCACTCCACTGAGTTTAGTTGTTTCATCCTGGGAGAGCGAGGAGGAAGATGTACCAAATTCTTCCATCATTGCTTAAGTTTCTTTTAAAAATCCACTCCCTTCCTCCCCCTTCTCTGTTTAGCCGCAGTACACTTACAGCTCTCCTCTAGCTTTCCTCTTGCCATTGGGAGGGAAGAGCATCTGTCGATATGACTCTGGTGTAAATGGGTTAATGTTGACCAGCGAAGCCTGGGCAGAATCATCTGGATCAGCACCAGGAGTAAATCTCAAGTGCCGGGGACCTTTGGAGGGGAATTTTCCCACAGTTGAAGGAAAAGCAGTCTTTGTTAAGAGACTCTGGATTTAAAAATAAAAACAAAGTGAGTTAAAAGTGTCCTCTAGCTACTGTTTTGACTGTTTTGTTCAGGGCAGACAGCAATAATTTGCCAGTTTGTCTTCAGGGTCTGATCCACCAAAAGGTGGTTTTGCTGTCCGCTAACTTCTTTACCCCCCTTCTGAAAAGGGACTTTTAGTATCTATATTTTCTCTCCATGAAGATTCATTCTAGTCAAGTCATGTCTCAATCTTCTCTTTGATAAGCTAGACAGATTGAGATCTTTAAGTTTAGCCCATGAGATTTTACAAGGCAAAATGCAATAAGACAATCACTCAAGACTGAGTTTTTGTAGCTTGCTGCTCCTCTAGATAAGAGCCTGGTTACTAGAAGGTGACGGGTTTGTTTGTTTTTAGTTAAGGTTTTACTGACAAAGTGCATTGAATCACCTTTCTGATGACTCATTGATCGTCATTGTTATGGTGCTTTCCATACAGATGGAAACAAGTTTCTAGCTTCACACAGCAGATTCATCCCTACCTTTGTGTGGCCAGCTAAGGTGCATTTACACTGCAGCTGGGAGGAGTAGGTCTACCCAGGCTAGGTAGACATACATGCACAAGCTCTGCTCAAGACAACTTCTTGAAATGGTAGCATGGCCTCTGTGGTACCGGCAGCAGCCCAGATACATGCTTAGGATCTCAGGTTGTACCCTGCCAGCTAGCCTGAGCTGACACCTATGCCTCCATGGCCAGGTGGCCGCATTGCTATTTTTAGGCATTCTGCTGGAGCAAAGCTAGTACAGCTAAGTCTATGTGGGCTGGGAATTATACCTCCCAGCAGCACTATAGATGCACTCCTTGTAGCATGCTGAGATGACACAAGAGCAAACTATCCCAATGCGTAGGGAAGACAGAAGTATGGTTAAGAGACCATCCTGGCTTAATCAGGAGATCTTCAGTGACCTGAAATGCAAAAAGTCATATAAAAAGCAGAAACTCGCTCACATTACAAAGGATAAATATAAAAACCCAACAGCATCTAGGGACAAAATTAGAAAAGCCAATGCACAAAACACAGTTAAACTATCTAAGGACAAAGGGTAACAAGTAAATATTTTACCAATACATTAGAAACAAGACGACGACCAAGGACAGAGTAGGCCCATTATTCAATGAGGAGGGGAAGGCAATAACAAAACGCAGTGATAAAAAGGACATTTAACACTGGGCTGTTTCAGTTTTCACCAAAAAGGCTAGGCGTGATCAGACGATTAATGTAGTGATCATCAGTGTAAATGGAGTCTGATTTGAGGTTAAAATAGGGAAAGAGCAAGGTAAGAGTTACTTAGGGCTGGTCTACACTGGGGGCGGGGGGGGGGGGAAAATCGATCCAAGATACGCAACTTCAGCTACGCGAATAGTGTAGCTGAAGTCGAAGTATCTTGGATCAAATTACCTGGGGTCCAGATGGCGCGGGATCGACGGCCGCGGCTCCCCCGTCGACTGCGCTACCGCCGCTCGCTCTGGTGGAGTTCCGGAGTCGACGGTGAGCGCGTTTGGGGATCGATATATTGCGTCTTAACGAGACGCGATATATCGATCCCGGATAAATCGATTGCTACCCGCCGATACGGCGGGTAGTGGAGACGTAACCATAGACAGATTAGAGGTCTTCAAGTCAGCAGGACCTGACAAAATGCATCCTAGAATACTAAGGAACTGGCTTTTACTTATTTATGATATGTAGAGAAAAGAAAATTTTAACATTTCAGCATTTATTACATTAAAAGCAGGTCTTGATTCCCCTATTTTAGGCTAAAGGACTTCTCGGAGAACTAGCAGGATGTCATCACAAGACAAGAAAATAAACTTGTGCAATTGAGGAAAGAGGTTTTAGTCAGACTGTTTAAGATTCTGTGGTTTGCCAACATCTAAGACTTGAGAAGAAGATTCATTATGCCAAGCTCTCAAGTTAAGCCTAAGGAAGCTCCTGCTCCAGTTCTCTAATGCTCCAAGGAGTAGTGTGTGTCCAAATTGGAGTAAGGGAATGTTGCAAGTCAGAAGTGGGACACCAGAACATCATCCAGTGGATGGGCAAACTAAACTGCTATCTGCACTATTAGTCGTATGACATCTGTTCCTCACCAGACCCATAATCCATGAGAGATACAAGGAGATCCAAAAGCAAAAGCCCTTTGATGTACATTAGTCCCTGGATCTACTGGCCAGGTGGAAATCCAAATCCTATCTCCCTCCTCCCCAAAAAAAAACTGCATCAAGAAGCATTAAAGGAATCTCCTTCCTTAGAGGTTTTTAAAGTCAGGCTTGGCAAAGCCCTGGCTGGTATGATTTAGTTGGGGATTGGTCCTGCTTCGAGCAGGGGGTTGGACTGGATGATCTCCTCAGGTCCCTTCCAACCCTGATATTCTATGAATTGGGTCTGCTGTGCTCCATTCAACCAAAGGAGCAACCTAGTTGCCAGTCAATTGAGAAAGAAATACTGGGTGTGATGGTGTGTGACGGCCTTTGTGAGTCATAGGATGCAAAGGGACATCTGTGCATTTACAACAACGCAGAGAAGTCCTGTGAGGACACAGTGAGTTCCAGGTCTCCACCAGTACAGAAGGGAAGCACTGTCTGTTTTATAGATACATCACCCTATAGGGGACTCATTCAGGAACTTCTATGGGAACAGAAAATAAGGACCAAAATCAATCAATGACCTTCTCCAAGAAACTTAACTTTACATCTATTGCACACAAGTATCTTTCATCAGTGAGCCAGAGGAAGGCGATTAGTGCTTCCACCACATTCCTCTCCCAACTCCACCCCTAAGGGCTCATACAAAACTAGTTTGCCATGAGAATGATTCCTACCCAACCCCAGCTTTGATGAACAGTTCAGTTTTGTGCACGGAAGTATCAGTGTAGCTGGACAGAAGAAACTGGTTAGAGGTGTTTCAGATTTGACAATGAATGGAAAATACCATTACATTTCATGAAAGTTTCCCTTTTTCTAGCCAGCTCTTGCTAACAGCAAGTTCCATTTAAGGATCCAAAGAACAATCTGGAAACTAGGAATAAGTAATCAACTACAGCATCTTGCTTCCAAGTACTATGCATGTCCAAATAATGGTCTGTTTTCTCCTTGAATCCTATTAAGAACAATTAATCTACCTCAATAGTAGAGTTTTCTAAATACTGACCACTATAAAGAGCATTTACTCATACTGAGCTTAAGCTTTGTTTTAAGTGGGAGCTGCCTGAATACACAGAATGCTTAAGGGGCTCTCAACACTAAGGATACATCTAAGGGTAAGGGATGTCTTTTTAGCCAAGCTAATTGATTACCAGTTAAGGGGGGAGGGATAGCTCAATGGTTTGAGCATTGGCCTGCTAAACCCAGGCTTCTGAGTTCAATCCTTGAGGGGGCCACTTAGGGATCTGGGGCAAAATCAGTACTTGGTCCTGCTAGTGAAGGCAGGGGGCTGGACTCAATGACCTTTCAAGGTCCCTTCCAGTTCTAGGAGATGGATATCTCCATTTTTTTTTTTTTTTTTAATATAAAACTCAAGGTAGTTAAGCATGTTTGTTAATGCTGGACTAGACACTCCCCAAATGTTTGTTCCAGGGAAGAGATATTTGTGGTTCACAAACAGAACTAGCCCCTGCCTTCCAGTGCTCAGTCTAGGTTTATGATGAGAAAGTGGGTAAAACATACAAACTGGGAATGAGGCAGAGGGGAGAACCAATAAGGTGGCAGTCAAACAAGCACGTTCCACATGGTAGGTAGTAGCCCCTGCTCATCACCTATCTAATGTAATTCTTGCAATATATTTAATACAACGTATATTCAAATGGGCAGAGAGACATTTCCTTGCCTTGGGAGTGTGCGGGGTGTCACACAGCTGTAGTTTTCTCCAGGTGACGTAATGCAGTGGAGTCCCAGGACATTCCCAGGCAGGACCAGCATTCTTTCTCAAGGATGAAGCAGAGTCCACAGTGGGACTCACCCATGTTTTAGTACGAGTCAGAGACACATCAACGACTTTTCTTTTGGGGGTTACTGCAAGAGAACTGTTAACTCTCCAACTCTGAAAATCCCAGCTCTTCTGGGGGCTTGAACTTTGGGGAGCCTCTTCTTGTATACTACTGTCCTCTTCCATCTCATTCTCTTCAGCGCAGCTGGAAAAATCCAGTTTCTGGATAAGTTCATCACTCTCGTCCCAGTCATCCATTGTGGCTAGAAAGACACAGAATGAATACAATTGATACCGACCCATTTGATCAGTAAGAGGGGATACGGAGTGTTTTTTACAAGATTGATTGTAAGTAACCACCCTATTTCCTCCACAGGAGATTCATTATTTCAGATATCAGATTTGTAGCCTTAACCCCACATATACAGGAGTTTAGATTGATCATAACAGTCATTTGACTATACTAAGTAAGGGAAAATAACTTGGAATTACCCTCCCCCTAAAGAATCCATTCAGAGCTTAGGTCAACCTTTGTAAAATAAATCCTGGTCCTACTCTCACTGGTGTAAATCAGGAATAGCCCAAATGAAGTGTTATTGTGATATTAAGCCTGTGTAAATAAGATCAGGATGAGGCATAGAGAGTATCCCCCCTCCACCAAAAAGAGTTACTAAATATTCCATCCACTTCCCACAACAGATACACAAATCACATTATACTACTTGATAAGCCAGATATAGTGACTCCCACTAGCTCCTTGGCACTACATCTCTAAGAAAAGGTACTATGTTACATACAGCTGTAAAAGCAGGAGGCCCTCAGACAGTTACCAAATATTTTCTAGCAAAGCCCATTCTTAGTGAGAAACTACCAACTACTACTGCTCCCACAGCATTTATAACCACCAGCCTGCAGCTGTACCATTGTTAATAGGCGACAATTAGAACTCAGCATCACCTGTTTACAATTGCTGGGGCCCATCCTGCTCCTATTGAAGTCAAAGGCAATTCCATTTTGTCATAGACTTAGATGGTAGTGTAGCAGAGCCCACTGTTTGCAAACAGCCCGGTGGGACAGCTACACTTTCCTACACACCTTCTCCTTACTTTCTAATTCTTGTCCCTCACTCAGTTTCCCAGAGCCTAATGAAGAGGCTGCATTTCCTGAAAGCTTGTCTATTTTATTTTGCATTAGTCTGACAAGATAGGTAGCCTGTATCTTTGTCAATTATTAGTCCTTTGGTTACAGGACTAATATCTGAGTCCCACTTCCAAGGTCTCCCTTTAGACTCACTGACTGAGTAGTACATTGTTTTGAGCAAGTGCTGTAACCCATGTGGAGAAATTCAATAGCATTATTTAGAATGTGTTAGACCTCAGAAGGGGGCGGGAGGGGAGGGAGAACAAGACCGGGCCTCTACAACAGGAGTGAGTTTTCAAATTGGGGGTCGGGACCCATCAGGAGGTCACAAGGTTATTACATGGAGAGTCGTGAGCTGTCACCCTCCACCCCAAAGCCTGCTTTACATCCAGCATTTATAATGGTGTTAAATATATTAAAAAGTGTTTTTAATTTATAAGGGGGGGTCACACTCAGAGGCTTGCTATTTGAAAGGGGTCACCAGTACAAAAGTTTGAGAACCACTGCTCTACAAGGTCAAGGAAAAGATTCACAACTCCAGCTTCCTGGTGCTTGAGCAGCTAAAGATTAAAGAACCTTGTCAAGTCTGTGAATGTATAGTGTGAGATCGCCCACGGAGTCGTTCATCTCTCACCCACCCAGGAGTGGGACAATGGCCCTTCTCTTTGTGGCTGTCCTTAGAAACCAAGGATTTTGTGTGCCATTGTGAAGTGCACGTTTTTGAAGAGGAATATAGAATTTTAATGAACTGGGAACTACAATGGCTTTTTTCCCTTAGTGCCGGGGAAAGCTGCCAGAATGGCAAGCATGAAAAAGGGGAATCCTCTAGCCACAGAACAGGTACAGCTCTGGCATAAGCAGTGCATGTGTTCCCTATCTCCCCTCCCTCCCCACACACATACATACATACCAAGGGGGCCTGGAGGGGCCACCTGTAGGAGGGAGAGGGGAGGTCAGTTGAGGGCCATGCAGTCCTAGCAATATCAGCTGACTACTAATAAAAGGGATGGCAATTTAGGTTTTTGTACCAGTGATTAACTCATTTTATATGGGCTACTAAATAGCTATCAGAGGATAACAGAACAGTGACCAAGTCAGCTTTTTACCACCTGCGGCTGGCTAGGAGACTGTGAACTTTCCTCTTGGATGTGGACCTTGCCCCAGTTATCCACGCTTTTGTTATCTCAAGATTAGACTATTGCAATGAACTCTGCTACTCCTTAAACCATTCAGAGACTGAGGCTGGTGTAGAATGCAGGGGCTCATTTGTTGAATGAGGCATTTTGCTCGCAACAGGACACCAGACAGTGCGCTGGGATGGGCACTGGCTGCCTATTGGTCCTTGGAAGGACTTTAAGGTGTTGGTTATGACCTATGAAGCCATAAATGTCCTGCAACTGACTTACTTGAGGGATCACCTCTCTCCTAGGCCATACTATCACAACTGCAGTCAGCTGGGGTGTCCAAGCTGGATCCCCAGAGACCGGGCAGCTAACAGGGTCTTCCTTGTAATGGCTCTCAAACCCTCACACCTGTGTAGTCTGAAATAACCCAGATTCAGTGACCTTCTGGGCACACTGTCAAAGACACCTGTTTGGGAAGGGTTTTGGAGAAGGCTGAGGGTGTGCTTCCCACAGTGGTGAAAAGCTGGAATATAGGTGTCTGTCTGGCTGAGTTCTTGTGAAATAGCTACTTTAATGCTGCGGGGGAGGGGAGGTTTCAATGTGTTCTTAATGATGTGCTAGGGTGACTAGAACTTGGGTAGGAATCTTTTATTTTAAATCTAAGTGAATAAATACATAATTTCCTTTCCCGGTCACTATTAACTAGCTTTCAACTAGTGACCTAGAGATGAAAAACCTCATCCCCCAATTGTCAGTCCCCTGTCTCCCAAACCGTCCCACCCTTATATCATAAAGGGCTTTACTGAAGAAAACCAGCCAAGTGACTGGAAAAAGGAGGAGGAAGGAAAGGCTTGTTACTACTTTTTGTTTCTCTTTACCATATAAAGGAGGCATAAAAGGATGTTCACCCTTGCTAGTTGTGGTATATTAGAAATAACAAGACTTGACCTCCTGTGTTTGCTGGACAACTCTTTGGAGGACTGTAGAACTGGCTAAGAGATTTATCAGCCCTCAGTTAGACGTACAGGGATATTTGAATCTGTTTCAAACAACACGTTTTGCCCAATTGTTTTTCAATTATTTGAATTAAATATGTGTTAACAGAAACAAATAGCACAGAAGCCAGATTCTCTCCTGGCATAATTCCCTTGGTTTCAATGAAGTTACTCAAGCAGAGAATTTGGCCTTGAGTTTTAAACTGTATATATATCTAAAAATTGCTTCAGCTCTTAATGTACTCAGGTTTCTGTTTCCTAAGATGTTATAATTGCTCTAGTCCTGGGAGGAATTTTTCTAACAAAACCAGAACTCAATATTTGGTATTTCTAATATGAAAAATTAGGTAATTGTTCAGACTTTTCCCTGGTCCTGCAAACACTTCAGCATGTGCTTAACTTTAAATATGTAAGTACAGGGCCGGCTCCAGGCACCAGCTTACCAAGCAGGTGCTTGGGGCGGCCACACCAGAGAGGGGCGGCATGTCCGGCTCTTCGGCGGCAATTCGGCAGTGGGTCCCTCACTCCCGCTCGGAGCCTTTTTTGTTTGTTTGTTTTTTGTTTTGCGGGGGGGCTGGCTGCTTGGGGCGGCAAAAACCCTGGAGCCAGCCCTGTGTAAGTAGTCCTGTTGCAGTCAATGGGGCCACTTGGAGTGTAAAGCTAAGTATGTGTGTAAATATATGCAGGATTGGCCTTTCTTTAAGCCTCATTCAGTAGCAAAACAGGCCACTTTTTTTTCCCTTTACAAGTCACCTTCCACAGAAAACGCCGTAGGCTAAATACCACATGCTGCTGCAAAGTAAACCTGTGTTTAGGTTTTGTGAAACAAACAGTGCACCTTCTCAATATTGAATCTACCTGATCTGAAGTTCATAGCAGCTGGTCTCCACTTGATCAATTTGAAATGCCAAAGCCACTTTTGACATCTATGGATCATGAGCTCTTGAATGGTGTATTGCATATCCAGACCAGCTCCATAGGAAAATAGTTAGACCATTAAGAGTTTTATGACAATACCTTCCTTTTAATTTGGGCTGCTTAATTGGGTAATCCAATTAATCAGAAAGTCTCCAAGGGAACTGATTTAAGCCTAATGATATTTAATCACATTGATGGCTGCTTAATAAGGATAGTAATTACACTCAACTTGGTTGCTTTTGGATTGCCTTGGTAGTTCTTAGATTTTTGTGTTTCAATCTTATCCTGATTCTGTGTGCTCCTCTGAAAACAGCTTTCAGTCCCTCTGTAGCTGCAATACATCTCAGTCATCATCACTGCCTCCCCCAATGGTGAGCTTGCAACTTCCAAGCCAACTATTCCTGATGAGCATCTCTTAGCTATTGAGGGCACTGACATGGAGCAGGCAATAGGTTCTGTTTCTACCCTAGTGTAGTAGATATTGCCTCTGTTCAATTCCATGGGCTGATTTAGTATGCCATGCTCAGTAGAGCTCTACAGCGACTCGGACAGTAGCATTTCTTCTGAAAAGAGGTCTACTGTTAGTTGGGAATTCTGCCTAATTGGGATGAAAGAGCATCCACCAGGGCCTCTAGATTCTTCTCTGTTAGGATTACAATGATGGGTATAATAATGCACAGGAAGATTAAGTGACTTTTTCAAGAAACACAGATGTTTTCAAGTTCCCAAAAAGAATCAGCAGTAAAGCCAGAAATTTAGGAGTCTTGGAACTCTGTCCTGTGCGCTAGCCAGATTACACTTCAATAGCTATGTCTATTTTGGTTACCTTTGTACTAATTGTTATTAATATATATGGAGTCTTAATAGTGCTCAGTGTTATGCATAACACAGTGGAAGTCACAAGGCACAGTCCCAAGGAAACTACATCCTTAAGTACTAATTCTGCAAAGAAGTCTGTGCAGGAGTCCATACTGACTTCAATCGGGCTCTCTGTTGGTATAATGGGGTGCCCACACTCATCCACTTTCAGGATCAGGACCTATATTAGCACAGACAATATAGTTCAGAAATATTGCAGCAAATGACAGTCTAATGTTTGGATCAGTGGCACAAATATCTGTTTTTCAAAAAATAATATCAAAATAATTTTATAATTGAATCTATCTATAAGATCTACAGTGCATGCCACTGAAAAGTTAACATCTCCTGGTACAGTATAAATAACACATATTTATAATTATCTGATTGCACATCCCACTATGCCAGTTGTATTTAACAGGAATGATGAAACTGACAGTTTAGGTTCCAGGTTGTGAGGATGCTAATCTCAGTAGAGAAACTGACTTGCACAAACTCCAGGTCACTTGAAATCCAGCAGTTTCTCCACTCTTGGGGTATAAAACTCATCTCTGAGTTGTGGCCCCAGCTGCACGCTCTAGGAAACAAACAATGTAGATTTAATTCCTCTTAAGAAAGGAACTTTAATCTGTGAGGAAAGAAGATGATAATTTAGTTTTTCTTCCCTGAGGGAACTGATGTACTTCTAAGTTTAAGTAATGGCACCTAATACAATGGGGATGGATATAAATATCCTAAAACAAAGAGCAATAAAAATAATACTATAATAAAAATATTCTAGGCAATAGCACAGTAGCATCATACTACAATACAGCATTTACTTTTTAATAGCACCCAGTATGTCAAATCTATCCAGGGCAGTGGTTTTCAACCTTTTTTCATTTGCAAACCCCTACAAAATTTCAAATGGAAGAGCAGACCCCTTTGGAAATCTTATCTTAGGCATAGTCTGCAGACCCCCCAGGGGTCCACAGACCACAGCTTTGAAAACCACTGATTTAGGGCCCCAGTCTTGTAAATGGCACTGCACTGATGGACCCCTCCACTTCAGCCCACTTATGCAAAGCAGTTTGCAGGGTCAGGACCTAGGTGTGTTTTCATCTCTGTGCTTTTAGACCCGTGGTACTGAACTGAAGTGCCAAGGAGATGATGTAACTGCTTGTACTTGTGGGTAATGTCACTGGCTCCCCTTGGTTAGCTTTGCAGCGCTCACCAGCGCCCTCAATCAACGCTTGCCATGTAGACACAAGCGACCCAGCCAGTGATGCACGAACACCCAGAGCAAAGAGGAACGCCAGCGCGGCTACAGCGCCCTGGGGACCCCCGAAGGGAACAGCTCTGCTGCTCCGAAGCGCTCTCCCCGGGCCCCGGGCTGAGCGTGCCCAGCTCCCGCCTTGGAACGCGCCGCGCGCCGCTGCCCGCTGCCCCGCTGCGACTCCAAACCACACCCCCACCTCGCCCCGGAAGCGCGCGGTCACGTGACTGAATGTGACTGGCCCCTATCCGACTGCCCGGTTGACCCAAGCGGGCTGCGAGATGGAGCGTTTTCACAGCCCGGAAGCCCCGCCCCCAAGCGGGTTTAGCCCCGCCCCCTGCTCCGCGGCCGCCCGCCCCTTCTCCCCCTCCCTGCCCGCCCGCCAGGCTCTCCGCGGCGCAGTCGGCGGGCCGAGGCCATGGGGGAGCCGGCAGACGAGGCGCCGCTGCTCTTCTGGGCCGAGGGCCCCGCGGTCTCCCTGCCGCAGGCCGAGCCGGAGCGGGGCGGCTGGAGCCTGGCCCCGGGGGGCGGCGCGGCGTGGGGCGGCCCCGGGGAGCTGCCGCGGGGGCCGGAGGCGGACCAGATCGTGGCGGTGTTCGTGGTCACCTTCGATCCCCGCTCCGGTAAGGGCGGCCCGGCCCGCGGGGATGCTGCGCCCCTCCATGCGCTGCCGGGGGGGAGCCGCGGGAGCCCCTCCCGCATCCATCCCCGCGGGCTCAGCAGCCGGGCTCCGCTGTGATGGGAAACGCTGCTGCCCCCTGTCGCCTCCTCCGTGACCCCCACCCCGGCGATGTGCCTGCTGGGGATGGGGGAGACTGGGAATCTCCCTTCTCTTTCCCCACCACCACGCTCCCAGGCTGAGCTCCCAGGTCATCGCTGTCGTGAGTTGGGGAGGCCTCGGCAGGTCCCCAGGAAAACGCTGCCTCCCCTCTCGTCCAGGGGGTGAGAGACACCTTGGGAATCCTGCTCCTCTTCCTTCCTTTCCCCCCCCACCCCTCGGGTTGAGCAGCCTGGTCATCGCTGTGATGAGTTGTGGGGGGCTCAATAGGTCCTTTCTCAAGGGAAATATTGCACACCTCACACATCTAGTGCTCATGCCCACAGGGGGATGAGAGAGAAACCGTGTGGAAATCTCTTTCTCTCCTACTCTCTCCCTCCCCTACTCCCTGGCTCAGCAGCCTGATCATCACTGTGATGAGTTGGGGGGTGGAGGTCAGCGGGTTCCCAGAAAACACTGCTACATTCCTCCTCTTTAAATCCTCGCCATCACCCACTGATTTTCATGGGGTGATGGAAAAGCCCTGGGAATCTCTCCCCACTTCAGCACCCTCTATTCTGGTGATGAGCTGAGGCGGGTCTCTGCAGCTTTCTCTCACAGGAAAATATACGGTGTGTCCCTGTTTTCCCCATAGCTATTTATTGGTAGTGAGTTGAGGCAAGCCATGGAAGCCTCACCCACCAAACATTGGCTACAAACAGTCACTTGCTGCACATACAGTGTGTTAGATGGTGATGAACATAGCCACCATCACTACAGTATCTGACCACTTCCCCAGCTTGCATGTTGTTTTCCTGTGGCTTGCACTATATTTGTCGAGTCTAGCGCAACAAAGTGCGATTTACTTCCGTTCATGCAACTTTGAGATCTTGGTGTTGCTTTCCCTTCCTCATCATGGGACCTGTGCAGATTAGTAACACTCTGCTTATCTATAGCATCTTTCTTCTAGGAATTTCAAGTGCTTTACATATGCTAAGGAATTAAGCCTCTCAGAATTCCTGTGAAATAGGTAGAAGAGTAGTACAGATGAGGAAACAAGCACAGAGAAGCTCTCTTGTCTGATGACCATGCAGCAAGTCAGTGGCAAAGCTGGGATAAGAATTCAAGATCTTTGACTTCCATTCTCACTAGATTCACTGCCTTTTTACTGATTCTGCACATCCAGAGGGGATGGGGGGAGGCAGGGCGGAGAATGTATGTAGGTAGGTGTGTTGCCACATCAGAATAAGTAAGTGGGAGAAGAGGGCATATGGGAAATAGGGGTTAGCACTAGGATTTAATTTTCTATTCGTGCAGGAGGTGGCTTTCTCTAAGGTGCAACCAAAATAGGTGATCTCAGTGGTGTTACGTCAGTGTAGTGGACCCCACAATATAATAATCAAGGGGATGGGGTTTAGCATTCCAAATAAGTGTGATGTTAAATATGATTAGAGTCTCCCTGGGCAAACCTCAGTTTTTCCTAAAACTCCTCTGCCATTTTGTGAGTAGGCAGTTGGGCACACAGAGTGAAAAGTGGTTCTGCAAAAGCTGGACTACTTTCCAGCTGTACTTTTAAGAACTGGGTAATGGTGGGTAACGTACCAGTACATCTTGTCTTTGGTGCTGGTTTTATCTGCTGTGGAGGGTTGTACTTAAGTGCGTCCACTTATACAATATAATTCACAGGGAAATAGTGAAAATGGGATGTAAGGAAGTGGTCAAATTTGACCTCTATTGTCCACATGCAACTTTTCAAAGGGGGAAAACAATCGCTCTTCATACTTCTCTACAACAAGTAACTTTAGAAAACTATGTCTAGTAGCAATAGTTAAGGCGACAATTATGTCACGAACTCTGTCACTTCCAGAGACCTCTGTGACGTTTTCCGGGGCAGCACCCAGGCAGCAGGGGGCCCTGGAGCTGCCAGCTGCTGTGCAGTGGGGGGGACCCTGGAGCCCCAGCTGCTGTGGGTGCTGGACACTCCTCCCTTCCCATTTTGTCAGGGGATATTTTTAGTAAAAGTCAGGGACAGGTCACGGGCTTCCATGAATTTTTGTTTATTGCCTGTGACTTGTCCATGACTTTTAGTAAATATATCCGTGAGAAAATCTTAGCCTTAGCAATAGTGTCTGTATGGAAGAGTAAATTACGTCCCTTGATGGGCATGTAGAGCATTGACTTGTGCTGCTGCTTCTTAGTGTATACTCAGCGTGCCTCAGGTGGCATGTGACCAGGATTCATCACCGAATTTGGTCTGCTGGTTGGATTATTAGCTTTCCAGCTTGGGCTGGGTATTGACAGGCAGTGCGACGTGAATCCTGATCCATGCCTCCTGACTTCTTCTGACTGTACCCAACAAATCATACATATTTATTGGTGTCATACCTGTCTTGAGTTCTGTCTGCACAGGCGACTCTGATTCTTTTGTTTGGTGCTTAAGAGATTAATGTTTCCCCAAGGAGTGGTGAATTTATCTCTCAACTGTCTTTCATCACACACTTGGGATCCTGCTCAGTCCTACACGAACTTGGTATTAATTCTCTTCTGTTATTGACCTAAGTAAGCAATGCTGAATCATGACACTGAGATTACAGAAAATGCTAACCCCTTCATTGCTAGCCCACCACTGCATCTGCTGTTGTCCATTAACAACTTCCTGTTGGTAGGTTAGAGCATACCTGCCATATACATTCACACATGCTGTGCTCCTGTTCTGTCTGCCTCGATCTAGGGTCTTAGATACATCATTTATGTATATGTTTGTACATACACTTCAGATAGTGTTCTCTTTCCTTCAGTCAGCAGTGACTGGCTTCTTGTGGCTTTGTGTGAGAGGGCCAGGGTGACTATGGCAGAAGGGCTGGGTCACAGTTTTGCATTTTGCTCTGAATACGCTGAAGTTTCTGTGTATCCTGACCTCTTCCGGGAGTAAGTTATGGGCAGTAGCCAAGAAAGTTTGGTCTCCTGCGTGCACAAGCGTTGCTCTTGAGGTTGACAGTCCCATAATACCGCAGGAACCTGGCTCTCACGGGAGGTCACGACCATGCAGGGTGTGATGGTCCCCTGGGTAACTTGTGCCAAGCCCATGGAGGACTCTGAAGGTGAAGACTTCTTCTTTCATATGGCTTGGGGAGGTAACCACAATTACAGATTTATATCTAGATTTGATAGTAGGGACCTTGCTGCAGCAGTGAGCTGGTGAATGTCCTTCAGGCCCCTGGCGAAAGAACAAAGGGAACACTCAGAAATGATGTGCTCCATCATTTGTGCCTGGTGACAACAGTCTCCTACAGGTGTTTGCCTCATTTTCCATTTAAAGAGGGTTTGTCCACATCTCCCAGGAGATGTCCTCATGCAATTAATCTGCACCAGTCTTTCCGACAGAAATCAAAACGCGGTGGTTCCTTGACAGGGTCAACAACGAGCTGTTTGTTTTGAGCAGTCGAAACGCTCCCTGTGGTTCTCCATTTAGCCTCAGCATCAAAGTTAAATGTAAGAGTCTTGATGCGGACCCATAGAGGGTTGTGGGATTTTAATTTTGTCTTTGGTGGGTTCTGCAGGTCATCGTGCAGCAGGGTCTTTGTGTTTGCATTGACGTGATTGAGAAAGTGAGATGTCTGGGCAGCTCTTCTAATCTACGGAGGCTGGATGTGCAGTAGGACCGAGAGCCAGACGACCAGTGTCAGGAACGCTCAAATTGACTCTATGCGCATAGCGTTATTGAGTTGAGTGTCAAGGCATTTAGTGTGACTGCTGTGAGACCACACTGGTGCACAGTATTCAGATGCAGAATGTACCAAAGCAGTTGTTGCGGTTTGTAAGGTCCATGGACTGGAGCCTGATGATGTTCTGGCCAATTTCCTGATAAGTGCGGCATGAGACCTGACCTTATAGCTGGTGTTCTCGAGATGTTGTCGAAAGGTTAAACTCCGGTCCAGTGTAACGCTGAGATACTTTTGAGTTAGCCTCATGGCTGACGCTCTCACTGCAGAACTGCACCACGAGTTTGGTATTAGCCATTTTATTGTTCAGACGGAAAGTGGTCACCATGTTTTTTTTTGTGTTAGGCCTAAGTTTCCAGCTTTGGAAATAATCAGCCATTGTGCTAAGATCTCAGGTTAGGGTGCAGCTGATAGTATGGAGGCTTGTATGCTGAACAGCCAGGACAATGTCATCCGCATAGATGAATTTCCTCAACTCCGTCGCTGGTATATCCATGATGTATAGATTAAAAAGTATCAGGGCCAGGACAGAGCCCTGAGGGATGCCCGAGTGAAGAGTCTTCGGTCTACTGATCTGGCCATTAAGGTGTACCTTAAACCAGCTGTCCCCGGTCATCGCTGCCAAGAGGCGGATCGTTTGCTGACAGTGAATGACGCTGGAGACCTTGAGGAGGAGGCCCTGTCTCCAGCCGGTGTCATATGCCGAGGACACATCAACAAGGACGATTCCTGTCTTCAACTTCTGTTGGAATCCTGCCTCAGTGTAGCCGGTGAGTGAAGCTACTTGGTCACAGCAGTTCCTCCTCCGGTGAAATCCTGCCTGCTTCACTGGGAGGATGTCTCTGCTAATGTCAAACAGACGGTGGAGCAGCCCCGCATTCCATGAGATTTTATGTCTGGCAGCTTTGTCGTTGTCTTTTGCGCTTGTTTCTTGGAGGGCCATGATGTCAATGTGATGGTCTTTGAGGGTCCTCGAGAGGTAAACCGCTTTTTCCAGGGACATCCCTTCTACAGTAAGTTGGTATATTTGGAGGACTGGCCCAACTGTTCTTTTTTGGTCCTGAAAAGGGTGGTTTGAGGAAATATAATCATTGCTACTTTCACTCGGAGGTTGGTAATGTGACATCCAGTGGCCAGTTGACAA